TGTAGATCATTTTAACATAGATTGATAAGGCGTATCTAAATATGTATATATATATATATATTCAATCAATGATAATCATTATATATATATATATGGTACATTTTGCATATTAGATCACATTAGATCAACAGTCCTTTACAGCATCCAATTTCGGCCCAATTCTGACCCACAGGTGGATGACGTGGCATCTGGCTTCGTCGTTCACTGGGAGAAGACTCAGACGCCGCTGCTGGTGGAATCGGAGTGACGCACAGCCGTGGCGCAGTCTGGTGGTGAAGAAAAGGGGCATGGCCATGGATCAAGACTAGACGATTTTTGTCGTAGCATATGGAGGCGTGGGTATGGATCAATACCTATTAATACCATTTTTAGTGGGATGAACATCCATTTACCAGCTATTTTGGGGTTCACTAGGTACCAGGGTTTTGACCCATCCCCATGTCTAAATCGCACCGTCTTCATTGAAAATAACAAGTGTATATATATATATAAGTATAAGTGTGTGTGTGTGTCAAAATCAGCAACGTCCTATAAGAATGTGCAGGGTAGTGCAGCACAGCCATATTAAGTTTCACAATTCCAGGCTGGGCAAGTATTGATTGATGCCCAACCAATATACCAATAAGATACGAATGATCAAAGGAAGTTTAGGGGGAGAAACTTCCGTGTTACCGAATTTTAGCATGTCAGGGAAAGAGTTAGTCAAAGAAAGAGTTAGCAAAGAAAGAGTTCGTCAGGGAAAGAGTTAGTCAAAGAAAGAGTTAGTGAGGGAAAGAGCTAGTCACAGAAAGAGTTAGCAAAGAAAGAGTTCCTCAGGGAAAGAGTTAGTCAAAGAAAGAGTTAGTCAAAGAAACAGGTAGTCAGGGAAAGAGTTAGTCAAAGAAAGAGTTAGTGAGGGAAAGAGTTAGTCAAAGAAAGAGTTAGCAAAGAAACAGTTAATGCCCTTCCTTATCTGTCCTCGTCAGGGGGGGAAAAAGCCAGTTACGAGTTAGTCAAAAGTAAATGAGTTAGTGAAGGGAAAGAGTTAGTCACAGAAGAGTTAGCAAAGAAAGAGAAAAGAACGAGTCGTCAGGGAAAGAGTTAGTCAAAGAAAAGAGTTAGTCAAAGAGAAACAGTTAGGTCCCGGGAAACAAGCGTAGCAAGAAAGAGTTAAGTGAGGGAAAGAGTAGTTGAGGGAACGAGTTAGTCAAAAGAAAGAAAGAGTTAGCAAAAAGAAAACAGTTTTAGTCAGAGTTAGTCAGGGAAAGAGTTAGTCAAAGAAAGAGATAGTGAGGGAAAGAGTTAGTCAAAGAAAGAGATAGTGAGGGAAAGAGTTAGTCAAAGAAAGAGTTAGCAAAGAAACAGTTAGTTAAGAAGCAGTTAAGTTAGTGAGGGAAAGAGTTAGTCAAAGAAAGAGTTAGTGAGGGAAAGAGTTAGTCAAAGAAAGAGTTAGCAAAGAAACAGTTAGTCAGGGAAAGAGTTAGTCAAAGAAAGAGTTAGCAAAGAAAGAGTTAGGCAAAGAAAGAGTTAGTGAGGGAAAGAGTTAGTCAAAGAAAGAGTTAGCAAAGAAACAGTTAGTCAGGGAAAGAGTTAGTCAAAGAAAGAGTTAGTGAAAGAAAGAGTTAGTCAAAGAAACAGTTAGTCAGGGAAAGAGTTAGTCAAAGAAAGAGTTAGTCAGGGAAAGAGTTAGTCAAAGAAAGAGATAGTCAGGGAAAGAGTTAGTCAAAGAAAGAGTTAGCAAAGAAACAGTTAGTCAGGGAAAGAGTTAGTCAAAGAAAGAGTTAGTGAGGGAAAGAGTTAGTCACAGAAAGAGTTAGCAAAGAAACAGTTCGTCAGGGAAAGAGTTAGTCAAAGAAAGAGTTAGTGAGGGAAAGAGTTAGTCAAAGAAAGAGTTAGCAAAGAAACAGTTAGTCAGGGAAAGAGTTAGTCAAAGAAAGAGTTAGTGAGGGAAAGAGTTAGTCAAAGAAAGAGTTAGTCAGGATATATGAGGTAGTCAAAGAAAGAGTTAGCAAAGAAACAAGTCAGTCAAAGAAACAAGTTAGTCAAAGAAAGAGTTAGTGAGGGAAAGAGTTAGTCAAAGAAAGAGTTAGTGAGGGAAAGAGTTAGTCACAGAAAGAGTTTGCAAAGAAAGAGTTCGTCAGGGAAAGAATTAGTCAAAGAAAGAGTTAGTCAAAGAAACAGTTAGTCAGGGAACGAGTTCGTCAAAGAAAGAGTTAGTGAGGGAAAGAGTCAGTCAAAGAAAGAGTTAGTGAGGGAAAGAGTTAGTCAAAGAAAGAGTTAGTGAGGGAAAGAGTTAGTCAAAGAAAGAGTTAGTCAGGATATATGAGGTAGTGAAAGAAAGAGTTAGCAAAGAAACAGTTAGTCAGGGAAAGAGTTCGTCAAAGAAAGAGTTAGTGAGGGAAAGAGTTAGTCACAGAAAGAGTTAGCAAAGAAATTGTTCCCTCACTGTAAATGGGATTGCAAGCGGTGCTGGTGGAGGAGTTGCCGATGGAGTTTTGAAGGAAGTCTCGCACGAAATGCGTTTTTGAGAGATAGCAGCTGCACGAAACCATGTGTTTTTCCGGACAAAGTGCGTCCCCAAACCTCGATGATCTACCTCTGCGGTGCGACGGTTGCGAGACGGTCTCGTGTGTGGTCGGACCATGGTCGGATCATGGTCGGATCGGTTCCGCATTGTAAATGGGGTGTCACCTGTGTTTCGTGCATTTGTGGTCGACAGAATTTCATTGTGATTTGCAACTGTAGGATCGTTCCCGCAATGTAAATGGGATTGCAAGTGGTGCTGGTGGATGAGTTGCCGATGGAATTCCATTGTGATTTGCAACTCTAGGATCGTTCCCTCACTGCAAATGGGATTGCAAGTGGTGCTGGTGGAGGAGTTGCCGATGGAGTTTTGACCCTGAGCATCGGATATTGAATAGGATCAATTGAAAGGGTATTGCAAATTATTGATATTTTTGAAACAAAAAAAAATCAATATTTTTTGGGTTGCAAATTATTGATCTGAAATTGATTTTTCTATTGAAATTTTTTGGGTGCAAATTATTGATCTGTCTATTGAATTTTTTTGGGAGAATTATTGATATTTTTGGGGTCCCTTTTTCCACCAAATTTTCCTCAAAAAACTATATATACATGCTGAAGTTTTGGCTCAAATAGTGTTTCAAAAAGCGAAAAAACACCTGTACTTGCAAGACCTTCCTTGGAAAAGGCTTGTCCTTGGAAAAGGCTTTTCCTTGGAAAAGGTCTTTCCTTGGAAAAGCTGTGGGGTTCTGCCTTGGAAAAGGCAGCATGGCTGGAAGGGGAGGAGCCAGAAATTATCCAAAACCCTATGTGGATTCTGGCCTTCTCTACAAAGCTCTTGCTGCCCATGAGGACCTGGTGGCAAACTTGGGCTCCTATGAGCACCTGTCCAGGTCAAATGCACCATGCCCAACTGGGTTGGTCAGGTGCCTTCCTTTGTGGAGGGCATTCTTAAAAATCGAAAAGAGTGGTGATATCCACAGCTCTCCCTTAAGGGTTGCTTTGATTTCCCTTCTGGCTGAAAAGCCACAGCTGAACCAGTCTGGCCAAAGTGGCCAAGTGTGGGCCAACTTAAGGGCTGAGAGGATAGTCTGCTTATTGAACCATGTGAGGGCTATGAGCAGGCAAAGCAGCCTGCAGACTAATGCCAGCAGGCTGAACAAGGATGATTTCCTGAGCTTGCAGGAAGGCCTCAACATGGTGGCAGCTGTCCCTGAAGCCTTGGAAAAGGCTCAAGCCTTGGAAAAGGCTCAAGCCTTGGAAAAGAGCAAGGCAATGGAAGAGAGCAAGCCCTTGGAAAAGGCAAAGTCTGCTGGCAGCAAGCTGCTGAAGAAGAATGATAGCAACAGCAGTGCTGTTTCCATGGATGCCAGAGGCTTCCCCAGTATGTTTGCTAGCAGCCCAGAATGCCCCAAAACAGCAGCAGCTGCATCCAAGCTGCCACTCCTCTCCACAAGAAGGCCAGGGAGCAGGGTGCAAACTGACACAGATTCCTTGGAAAAGGCTATGGGGTATGCTGCATGCTCCAAGAAAAGGCCAGCTGCTGCCTTGGAAAAGGCTCAGGCAAAAAAGCCATCAGCAAAGGCTTTGGGAAAGGCCAAGAAGGGAAAGAAAGCAGCAAAGAAAAAGGCACAGCCTTTGGAAAAAGGCATGAGGATGAAATGGCTCAAACTGAAGGTCACTTCTGCAAAGAAGCCTAAGCCAAGGGCATATTTGACAGGAACCACTGAGGAGGGTGGCAAGCTGAAGCTAATTGTGGAGGTGACTAGCAGCATGTCTCCACACTTTGCCCAAATCATTGATGATATCCAAAAATCCTTGGAAAAGGATTCTTTGACAAAGGCAGAGGCTTTGGATATGAGGGCAAGGCTGTTGGAAACATATGCTGCCAAGTGAGCCCCCACAGCCTTGGAAAAGGCATGCTCAACTTTGGAAGTTGCATGCCAATAAAGACCATTGGTGTATCCTTGGAAAAGGATAAAAACCCTTGGGAAAGGAAAAAAAACCCTTGGAAAAGGGATATATCCTTGGAAAAGGAAAGCTGTGGCCATGGAAAAGCCATGGCCACTACAATTTTGTACATACAAGTTTCACCTATAGGAGTACCAAAAAAAAGAAAAACATGCTGCCTGGCAGCTGCAAGTCATGGTCACCATGTGCCAGTGCACCCTTGCCTTTGCAACTAAAAACTAAACCACCTCAATGTTATATGTGTCTTCAAAAAGGCATGGGTGCAGTGGCAAAAACTACATGTGTCTGCAGCTGTTTTGCTTTCAGCTTAGAGCCATAGGTTGCAACATGCCCCACTGGAGCACCACAGCAGCACCACAGCACCAGCACAGCAGCACCACAGAAACTGGATAGTAATTCCTAGGATACAAGAAACCGCCCACAACACTGTATACAATAGGTAAGGCAACCACACACTCACACATCAAACTTTTGCCTTAGCCCCTTGCTGTGTAGGGCTTGGAAAAGCTGCCTTGGGAAAGGCAAAGATGGCACAACCCCCCCCAGGGGGGTTTAACAACAAATGGAGGCCATCTGGCTCTGGCACTACTTCCCAAAAGAGGAAGGAAGCCAGGGAAGCCAAGCAATGGTCCTTCCTGGAAGGGGACAACCCTTCTGGGAAGAAGTGCTTGGAAAAGCACCTGGCTAGCTTGGAAGCAGCCAGAAAAAAGTGCCTGGACAAGCTCCAGCATGCTGAGGAGGACGAAGCCTTGGAAAAGGCTGAGCAGGCACACAAGAAGGCCATGAAAAAACAGAAGAAGGCCAAGCAGTCCTTGGAAAAGGAGTCCTTGGAAAAGGATGTGGACATGGAAGAGGTCAAGGTGGAGGCTGAGCCCTTGGAAAAGGGCAAGCCTGGGAAGCATGGTCCCAGGAAGGCCTCCCTGGTCTCTGCTGACACCTTGGAAAAGGAAAGGCAGCTCAAGGCAAAGTTGCATGCTTCCTTGGAAAAGGAAAGGCAGTACACGGCAAAGCTGCAAGAAGCCTTGGAAAAGGCCAAATCTGCTGCTGGTACTGGGGCCAGCAGCAGCAGCAAGCCAGCTGGCCCCATGCAGAGCATGCCCCTGGTTGGTCAGCTTGATGAGGCCTTGGAAAAGGCAAAGAAAGCCTTGGAAAAGGCAAAGGCAGAGGAGGTCATCCACATCTGTGTGGATTGGCACAACACCTTGGAAAAGGATGATGATGTCTCAGCTGACAACATGGCAGCTTTGACATGCCTGCCGCAGGTGGCAAAAGTCCACCTGATCAGCTTTGTGGGCAGTGGCAGCAGAAAGAAGCAAGTCCTCAAGGACATGAAGATGCTGCCCCAGTATGACAAGCTGTCCACCAGCATGGCCATCTTCAACCAGCTGGGGGAAGATGGCAAAGTCGACTGGGCATGCCACTTGGGCTGCACAGTGATCTTTGATGATCAGCCTGAGATCATCAAAGAGGCCAAGCAGTGGGGGCTGGATGCTTATGGCATTGCACACCCCAAGGCCAAGCACAAGGGCCAGTTTTGGACCACCTTTGCTGAGGCTGTGCTGGACTACTTGGACAAGCTGGCCCAGTACCAGTAGTTCAGTGGCAGCTATTCCTTGGAAAAGGAAGCAGCAAAGGCCTTGGAAAAGGCATGCCCAAAGCCCTTGGAAAAGGGCCAAGCCTGTGCAGCTCAAAGCCTTGGAAAAGGTTGCCCAAAGCCTTGGAAAAGGCAGCAGCTGACAAACCTTGGAAAAGGTAGCACATGTTTCACCCACCTTTGCATGCATCAATTAAAAAATGTCCAGCTGGCCAGAATTTGTTGAAATAAAGACATGATGAACAACTATATAACATGTGTTAAATCATTGGTTTGATATTTATTTCTTGTGTTACTTGTGCAATTCTTGGCCAGCTGGACATGGAAGAAGCATTGGTAAAACCCCTTGGAAAAGGGGCCAAAACATGTACAGTCTAGTGTACAGATTGCTTCCCTGTAAAAAGCAGGGAAGCATAAGAGACCAACTAAGCAAGAGAGAAAAAGTGAATAAATAATAAATAAATAATTTAAAAATAATGAGACATATATAATTAAAAAAATAAAAAGTAAATAATCAAAAACATAAAAAAATTCAGTAAACATTGAACCCCAAAAATGCAAATTGAAAAGTATTTTTTTAGGTGAAAAAAATGTTTGGGAAGAAACCATTTGTGAGACATGAGGAAAGCCAAATGGAGCAAACTGCTTTGTGAAATAATCTTTGTTGGAATCAAATGAAAAGAGATCCAAAATTGTTTAGCTTTTTGAAAAAAAAGAGCCAAATGCCAAAGATAAATTGCAATCTTACAAAGAAAAAGTGCAAAAAAATGAAAATGAAATCACCTCAAAAAAAAAACTGCAAAAAATAGAAAAAAAACAAATCTGTTGAAATCTGTTGAAATCTGTTGAAATCCGTTGAAATCTGTTGAAATCTGTTGAAAACAAGGATTTCAACAGATTTCAACAGATTTCAACAGATTTCATTTTTTCTAATTTTGGCTGTTTTTTTTTTCCTTGTGTTTTTTTTTTTCTCTGTGGTGCTTTTGTCTTGTTTTCTTCTGGTTCTCCCCTGTTCTTTGTCAATTTTGGTTTGGAAATTGATGTGTTTTGTGTTTCTCTCTTCCTTGTTCTTTCTTGGTATTTGTTGGTTTTGTTTTTTTGTTAGTTTAGTGCTGTTGTTGTTGCTGATCTGTTGCTTTGTTTTCTTCAGTGGCTTTGCTTTTTCCCACACTTTGGTTTCGGATTTTGCCTGGTTGTTTTCAAGGTCAATGTTTTCTTGCAGGACCATCTTGGCTCAAAGTTTTGTTAGTGCTACAGCAATCAAACACTAGCTATGCCGCCCAAAAAGGTAATGAAAAAACATGTGAAGAAAGGAAAAGGAAGCAGCTTGGAAAAGCAAGGCAGGCTTGGAAAAGCCAAGGCCAAGGCCAAAAGCAAACTTGGAAAAGTTTGCAAAAGAAACTTGGAAAAGATGGGAAAGCTTTCCCTCCAGGAGAAAGTCCAGCAAGCAGCTGAGGCAGCTGAGGACCCAGAGGAGCAGGCAGAGCAGCTCCAGAAAACCCTTTCCACTGAAGAGAAAAAGGAAGTTTGGGGGAAGCACAACACTTTCCTCAAGCACAACCCCTTGGAAAAGGGTGACCATAACCAGCTGTCCAAGAAGGACAAAGGCATTGCTGCATGCCTCTGGTTTCTGAAGGAGGAGGGGAAGAGATTCATCCACACCAGCCAGACTGTCAAGGCTTCAGAAGCCTTGGAAAAGGAAGATTTCTGGATGACAGAAAAGCAAGCCTTGGACAAGTTTGGTGAAAGGGAACTCAACCTCTACCAGTACAAAGATCTCCATGCTTGGAAAAAAAAGGTCCAAGTCAACAGAGGGAAGAAATGGCAATCTGGACAGGAATATGAGCCAGAGGAAGAGGACTTGGAAAAGTTCAAAGCTCTCTATGATGAGGATGCCATGAACTTGGACCAGCATGAGATCAGCCAGCTGGAAGGCAGAGCCAAGGGGTCTGGAAAGACCAGTGGCAAGCACCTTGGAAAAGGTAAGACACACCTTGGAAAAGGTAAGACACACCTTGGAAAAGGTAAGGGCAAAGGGGCAAAGGAAAAGCAGCTGGCCATCAAGGACAAGGAGCCTGATGAAGAAGATGACCCTGAAGATGAAGCTCTGAAAGATGCCTTGAAAAAGGTCAGGAAAGCCAGGGACTCTGTGTCTGCTGCCACTTCCAACTTGGAAGAAGCCTTGGGAAAGGCAAAGTCTTCTTTGTCGAGACAAGGCAAAGCAGTGGCTGAAGGGTACATCAGCCAGCTGGGTAAGAACCTCCAAACATTGAAGGATGCCCTGGCTGGCAAGAAGGCTTGGAAAAGCAATGGCATCAAGAAGTTCTTGGAAGAAGTTGCCAAGAACATCAAAGGTGCCAAGGATGAGGCCAAAGAGCTGAAAGCCTTGGGCAACAAGGCTGCTTCTGTTGCTGGCAGCAGGAAGTCCAAGTGAGCTTGGAAAAGGCAGCCTTGGAAAAGGCAAACCAGCTTTGGAAAAGGCAAAGTAGATAACCTTGGAAAAGGCTAGCCATTGCTACAGCCCTAACACAGGGCAGGGTAGCTCTTAGATATAAGACACATAGCTTTGGAAAAAAACATGCAGCTGCTGGGGACCAGGGGTTAACATGGACACACACACACACACCTCCTGCAGCTGTTTCTGATCAAGTGTGTAAGTGTAGCTGTTTGCAATTCAGGTTTAGCTTTGCATCTTGCCTTGGAAAAGGCTACTCCTTGGAAAAGGAATGGCCTGCAAAAGGCTTAGGGGATGGCAGCTGGAAATGGAAAGTGGGAGGCCTAGCAAGGCCAAAACCTTGGAAAAGGATACCTTGGAAAAGGAGTCTGCTTTGGGCAACAAGCTTCTAAGCTTGTGGGCACATGGTACCCTTTCAGCAGTGATGGTGAGAGAGCTGGCCCACCTTGCAATTCAAGATGGTGCCAAGGGGGAAGACCTACACTGCATGGCCAAAGCAGGAGATTGGGGTGGTCGCCCAGGCAACTGCCACAGAGACATCATGGCCAGATTTTGCCATCATGTCACTTTGCCCCAGCCAGTCAACATCCAGGTTGGATGCATTGACCCCAAAACATCACAGCCAGCCTTGGAAAAGGCTGCTGTTTTCCTGCCACACCAAGTGTGGGCAAGCCTGGGTCACAACTACCCCTTCCACTTGGAAAAGATGGGGAAATGCTCCCTTGAAACCTTTTGGTCAAGGGTAGAATCATCTAATGATGATAAGCTCCTAAACCACCCGATGACCTTGGAAAAGGATTGGAAGGAAAAGAATGTACCCTTATTCCTCCATGGAGATGGGGTGGAATTCCAGAACAGGGACACTCTCATGTGTTTCTCCTTTGGTAGCCTGTTGAGCAACATGAGCTCACTTGAAAGCCATTGGCTGCGCGCAACTTTTCCCAAAAGTGCCACATCTGATGGCACATGGCCACCAATCTGGACATATTTGAGATGGAGCTTTGATGCCCTTGGAAAAGGGTACCACCCTTTGGAAGACCCAGATGGAAAGCCCTTGGAAAAGGGATCACCATTTTTTGAATGTAAGGGTCAGCCCCTGCACCCACAAGGCCTTAAAGGCACATTGTGGTCCATTATAGGGGATCAGGAGTTCTTCTCAAATGCCCTAGGCCTTCCTCATTGGAATGCTCACTATCCATGCCATGAATGTGATGGGCAGAACTGGGAAGGCTGTGCCTTGGAAAAGGCTGTGAAGGAAATCCGCTTGGAAAAGCAGAACTTTCAAGAATACAGCCATGCTGAGCACATGGCAGAGCCTGCCAGTGACCACCCCTTGTTTCAATTGGATCACATCTCCTGCAAGAATGTCAAGGGGGACCCCCTGCATATCCTTTTCTGCAAGGGTTTATATGGTCACCTGATAGGACAAGCCATGATTGGGAGCTGGGCTGGGTGGCTGCCATCTTCTCGAGCGACCCATCCTTCACCGCACTCTGCCCCGCACACAAATCGGCATCAGCGGCTCACTACTTTAATTGATATTTTATGGGTTTTAATGGGATTTAATGGGATTCATTGGATACAGTACCCTCTGGTAAACTCACATAGCTATTGAAAATTGCCATTTATAGTGGATTTTCCCATTAAAAATTGTGATGTTCCATAGGTATGTTAGTTTACAAGAGGGCAATGAACCATATTCTGAATTTATGTCAGAATTAACCTGAAAATAGTTGTTATCATCAAGGCCGGGTTGGATTCCCCATTCCGGTCCGAAGTCTGAATCGTGGCTTACCCTGGGTACTCTTGGGTACATCATAAGAATTTGTCCCTTGAAAAATTGCATGTTCTATCTATTATTTATGATCATCCAGTAGTACCTATTGGTAGTTGAATATCCCGGGTAATACCTATTGGTATCTATCTTTACCAGTAGTACCCGCATGAGGCGGGGCGGAAGTTGCCTTAAAGATATATATGAGACCTTTCTCATCTATAGAACTTGCCTGCGCCGTGCGCCAGCCAAGCCGGTGCGTGCGTGCACTCTGCGAAACTGATGTCTTGTTTCACATGTCACATTTGAAGCTCCACGTCACACTTCACACTTGACAGTCTCCACACTCCACACTACACACTGCACTCTTCACACTGCACTCTGCGCACTGCGCACTCCACACTTCACACTTCACACTCCACACTTCACACTCCACACTTCACACTGTACCCTTCCCACTGCACACTTCACAGTCCATACTTCACACTTCACACTCCACACTTCACAGTCCACACTTCACACTTCACACTCCACACTTCACAGTCCACACTTCACACTTCACACTCCACACTTCACACTGCACTCTTCACGCCCCACACTTCACACTGCACTCTTCACACTCCACACTTCACCTCATCTGAGCTCTTCTCACCTTATCCCAGCTCATCTCTTCTCATCTCATCTCTTCTCATATGTCACCTAAGCTTTCATGAATCACTTCCCAGTACTATACTACTAAGGAACTTGCATGCGCCGTGCGCCAGCCAGGCCCGTGCGTGCGTGCTTTGTGCGAAGCTGTTGCAGTGTTGCTGTCCAAGAACATGACCTGCGCGCGACCCCGGTAGAATGCAAACACTTTCCTCACACTTCACATTGCACCAAAATTGAGAAAATCTGCTGACAAATCACTTTCGCAGCCTTGATGCAGCCATTCCAATACGATTTACGATCTTCAGCTGCAAAAGACACTAGTATTACGCATGCAGCCGCTGCACCAAGCAACCTTGACGCAGCCACTACAATGCGATCTGCAGAGACTGAGTTGCAAAACACAATAGAACTACGCGCAATGGCGTCGGAAATTGCAGCTCCAAAACGGATGATCTCAAAGAGGCCAAGCAGTGGGGGCTGGATGCTTATGGCAAGGGCCAGTTTTGGGCCACCTTTGCTGAGGCTGTGCTGGACTACTTGGACAAGCTGGCCCAGTACCAGTAGTTCAGTGGCAGCTATTCCTTGGAAAAGGAAGCAGCAAAGGCCTTGGAAAAGGCATGCCCAAAGCCCTTGGAAAAGGGCCAAGCCTGTGCAGCCCAAAGCCTTGGAAAAGGTTGCCCAAAGCCTTGGAAAAGGCAGCAGCTGACAAACCTTGGAAAAGGTAGCACATGTTTCACCCACCTTTGCATGCATCAATTTAAAAATGTCCAGCTGGCCAGAATTTGTTGAAATAAAGACATGATGAACAACTATATAACATGTGTTAAATCATTGGTTTGATATTTATTTCTTGTGTTACTTGTGCAATTCTTGGCCAGCTGGACATGGAAGAAGCATTGGTAAAACCCCTTGGAAAAGGGGCCAAAACATGTACAGTCTAGTGTACAGATTGCTTCCCTGTAAAAAGCAGGGAAGCATAAGAGACCAACTAAGCAAGAGAGAAAAAGTGAATAAATAATAAATAAATAATTTAAAAAATAATGAGACATATATAATTAAAAAAATAAAAAGTAAGCAATTAAAAAAACAAAAAATTTCAGTAAACATTGAACCCCAAAAATGCAAATTGAAAAGTATTTTTTTAGGTGAAAAAAATGTTTGGGAAGAAACCATTTGTGAGACATGAGGAAAGCCAAATGGAGCAAACTGCTTTGTGAAATAATCTTTGTTGGAATCAAATGAAAAGAGATCCAAAATTGTTTAGCTTTTTGAAAAAAAGAGCCAAATGCCAAAGATAAATTGCAATCTTACAAAGAAAAAGTGCAAAAAATGAAAATGAAATCACCTCAAAAAAAAAACTGCAAAAAATAGAAAAAAAAACAAATCTGTTGAAATCTGTTGAAATCTGTTGAAATCTGTTGAAATCTGTTGAAATCTGTTGAAAACAAGGATTTCAACAGATTTCAACAGATTTCATTTTTTCTAATTTTGGCTGTTTTTTTTCCTTGTGTGTTTTTTTTTTCTGTGGTGCTTTTGTCTTGTTTTCTTCTGGTTCTCCCCTGTTCTTTGTCAATTTTGGTTTGGAAATTGATGTGTTTTGTGTTTCTCTCTTCCTTGTTCTTTCTTGGTATTTGTTGGTTTTGTTTTTTTTGTTAGTTTAGTGCTGTTGTTGTTGCTGATCTGTTGCTTTGTTTTCTTCAGTGGCTTTGCTTTTTCCCACACTTTGGTTTCGGATTTTGCCTGGTTGTTTTCAAGGTCAATGTTTTCTTGCAGGACCATCTTGGCTCAAAGTTTTGTTAGTGCTACAGCAATCAAACACTAGCTATGCCGCCCAAAAAGGTAATGAAAAAACATGTGAAGAAAGGAAAAGGAAGCAGCTTGGAAAAGCAAGGCAGGCTTGGAAAAGCCAAGGCCAAGGCCAAAAGCAAACTTGGAAAAGTTTGCAAAAGAAACTTGGAAAAGATGGGAAAGCTTTCCCTCCAGGAGAAAGTCCAGCAAGCAGCTGAGGCAGCTGAGGACCCAGAGGAGCAGGCAGAGCAGCTCCAGAAAACCCTTTCCACTGAAGAGAAAAAGGAAGTTTGGGGGAAGCACAACACTTTCCTCAAGCACAACCCCTTGGAAAAGGGTGACCATAACCAGCTGTCCAAGAAGGACAAAGGCATTGCTGCATGCCTCTGGTTTCTGAAGAAGGAGGGGAAGAGATTCATCCACACCAGCTAGACTGTCAAGGCTTCAGAAGCCTTGGAAAAGGAAGATTTCTGGATGACAGAAAAGCAAGCCTTGGACAAGTTTGGTGAAAGGGAACTCAACCTCCACATTGAGAGTGGAAGGGTGGTTTACAGAGAAGACCCTTGCACCTACAATGTCTACCAGTACAAAGATCTCCATGCTTGGAAAAAAAGGTCCAAGTCAACAGAGGGAAGAAATGGCAATCTGGACAGGAATATGAGCCAGAGGAAGAGGACTTGGAAAAGTTCAAAGCTCTCTATGATGAGGATGCCATGAACTTGGACCAGCATGAGATCAGCCAGCTGGAAGGCAGAGCCAAGGGGTCTGGAAAGACCAGTGGCAAGCACCTTGGAAAAGGTAAGACACACCTTGGAAAAGGTAAGACACACCTTGGAAAAGGTAAGGGCAAAGGGGCAAAGGAAAAGCAGCTGGCCATCAAGGACAAGGAGCCTGATGAAGAAGATGTCCCTGAAGATGAAGCTCTGAAAGATGCCTTGAAAAAGGTCAGGAAAGCCAGGGACTCTGTGTCTGCTGCCATTTCCAACTTGGAAGAAGCCTTGGGAAAGGCAAAGTCTTCTTTGTCGAGACAAGGCAAAGCAGTGGCTGAAGGGTACATCAGCCAGCTGGGTAAGAACCTCCAAACATTGAAGGATGTCCTGGCTGGCAAGAAGGCTTGGAAAAGCAATGGCATCAAGAAGTTCTTGGAAGAAGTTGCCAAGAACATCAAAGGTGCCAAGGATGAGGCCAAAGAGCTGAAAGCCTTGGGCAACAAGGCTGCTTCTGTTGCTGGCAGCAGGAAGTCCAAGTGAGCTTGGAAAAGGCAGCCTTGGAAAAGGCAAACCAGCTTTGGAAAAGGCAAAGTAGATAACCTTGGAAAAGGCTAGCCATTGCTACAGCCCTAACACAGGGCAGGGTAGCTCTTAGATATAAGACACATAGCTTTGGAAAAAAAAACATGCAGCTGCTGGGGACCAGGGGTTAACATGGACACACACACACACACCTCCTGCAGCTGTTTCTGATCAAGTGTGTAAGTGTAGCTGTTTGCAATTCAGGTTTAGCTTTGCATCTTGCCTTGGAAAAGGCTACTCCTTGGAAAAGGAATGGCCTGCAAAAGGCTTAGGGGATGGCAGCTGGAAATGGAAAGTGGGAGGCCTAGCAAGGCCAAAACCTTGGAAAAGGATACCTTGGAAAAGGAGTCTGCTTTGGGCAACAAGCTTCTAAGCTTGTGGGCACATGGTACCCTTTCAGCAGTGATGGTGAGAGAGCTGGCCCACCTTGCAATTCAAGATGGTGCCAAGGGGGAAGACCTACACTGCATGGCCAAAGCAGGAGATTGGGGTGGTCGCCCAGGCAACTGCCACAGAGACATCATGGCCAGATTTTGCCATCATGTCACTTTGCCCCAGCCAGTCAACATCCAGGTTGGATGCATTGACCCCAAAACATCACAGCCAGCCTTGGAAAAGGCTGCTGTTTTCCTGCCACACCAAGTGTGGGCAAGCCTGGGTCACAACTACCCCTTCCACTTGGAAAAGATGGGGAAATGCTCCCTTGAAACCTTTTGGTCAAGGGTAGAATCATCTAATGATGATAAGCTCCTAAACCACCCGATGACCTTGGAAAAGGATTGGAAGGAAAAGAAGGTACCCTTATTCCTCCATGGAGATGGGGTGGAATTCCAGAACAGGGACACTCTCATGTGTTTCTCCTTTGGTAGCCTGTTGAGCAACATGAGCTCACTTGAAAGCCATTGGCTGTGCGCAACTTTTCCCAAAAGTGCCACATCTGATGGCACATGGCCACCAATCTGGACATATTTGAGATGGAGCTTTGATGCCCTTGGAAAAGGGTACCACCCTTTGGAAGACCCAGATGGAAAGCCCTTGGAAAAGGGATCACCATTTTTTGAATGTAAGGGTCAGCCCCTGCACCCACAAGGCCTTAAAGGCACATTGTGGTCCATTATGGGGGATCAGGAGTTCTTCTCAAATGCCCTAGGCCTTCCTCATTGGAATGCTCACTATCCATGCCATGAATGTGATGGGCAGAACTGGGAAGGCTGTGCCTTGGAAAAGGCTGTGAAGGAAATCCGCTTGGAAAAGCAGAACTTTCAAGAATACAGCCATGCTGAGCACATGGCAGAGCCTGCCAGTGACCACCCCTTGTTTCAATTGGATCACATCTCCTGCAAGAATGTCAAGGGGGACCCCCTGCATATCCTTTTCTGCAAGGGTTTATATGGTCACCTGATAGGACAAGCCATGATTGGGAGCTGGGCTGGGTGGCTGCCATCTTCTCGAGCGACCCATCCTTCACCGCACTCTGCCCCGCACACAAATCGGCATCAGCGGCTCACTACTTTAATTGATATTTTATGGGTTTTAATGGGATTTAATGGGATTCATTGGATACAGTACCCTCTGGTAAACTCACATAGCTATTGAAAATTGCCATTTATAGTGGATTTTCCCATTAAAAATTGTGATGTTCCATAGGTATGTTAGTTTACAAGAGGGCAATGAACCATATTCTGAATTTATGTCAGAATTAACCTGAAAATAGTTGTTATCATCAAGGCCGGGTTGGATTCCCCATTCCGGTCCGAAGTCTGAATCGTGGCTTACCCTGGGTACTCTTGGGTACATCATAAGAATTTGTCCCTTGAAAAATTGCATGTTCTATCTATTATTTATGATCATCCAGTAGTACCTATTGGTAGTTGAATATCCCGGGTAATACCTATTGGTATCTATCTTTACCAGTAGTACCCGCATGAGGCGGGGCGGAAGTTGCCTTAAAGATATATATGAGACCTTTCTCATCTATAGAACTTGCCTGCGCCGTGCGCCAGCCAAGCCGGTGCGTGCGTGCACTCTGCGAAACTGATGTCTTGTTTCACATGTCACATTTGAAGCTCCACGTCACACTTCACACTTGACAGTCTCCACACTCCACACTACACACTGCACTCTTCACACTGCACTCTGCGCACTGCGCACTCCACACTTCACACTTCACACTCCACACTTCACACTCCACACTTCACACTGTACCCTTCCCACTGCACACTCCACACTTCACACTTCACACTCCACACTTCACACTTCACAGTCCATACTTCACACTTCACACTCCACACTTCACAGTCCACACTTCACACTTCACACTCCACACTTCACACTGCACTCTTCACGCCCCACACTTCACACTGCACTCTTCACACTCCACACTTCATCTCATCTGAGCTCTTCTCACCTTATCCCAGCTCATCTCTTCTCATCTCATCTCTTCTCATATGTCACCTAAGCTTTCATGAATCACTTCCCAGTACTATACTACTAAGGAACTTGCATGCGCGCCAGCCAGGCCCGCCCGTGCGTGCGTGCTTTGTAAGCTGAAGTGTTGCAAACACTTTCCTCACACTTCACATTGCACCAAAATTGAGAAAATCTGCTGACAAATCACTTTCGCAGCCTTGATGCAGCCATTCCAATACGATTTACGATCTTCAGTCTTCAGCTGCAAAAGACAATAGTATTACGCATGCAGCCGCTGCACCAAGCAACCTTGACGCAGCCACTACAATGCGATCTGCAGAGACTGAGTTGCAAAACACAATAGAACTACGTGCAATGGCGTCGGAAATTGCAGCTCCAAAACCGGATCTCGACGCCAAAGCGACAAAAAGACGATTTTGAAGCACTTTTTAAAAGGATTTTAAAAGGAAAATTATTAGCGCCAAAATTGAGAAAATCTGCTGACAATTCACTTTCGCAGCCTTGATGCAGCCATTCCAATACGATTTACGATCTTCAGCTGCAAAAGACAATTCCAATACGATTTACGATCTTCAGCTGCAAAAGACAATAGTATTACGCATGCAGCCGCTGCACCAAGCAACCTTGACGCAGCCACTACAATGCGATCTGCAGAGACTGAGTTGCAAAACACAATAGAACTACGTGCAATGGCGTCGGAAATTGCAGCTCCAAAACCGGATCTCGACGCCAAAGCGACAAAAAGACGATTTTGAAGCACTTTTTAAAAGGAATTTTAAAAGGAAAATTATTAGCGCCAAAATTGAAAAAATCTGCTGACAAATCACTTTCGCAGCCTTGATGCAGCCATTCCAATACGATTTACGATCTTCAGCTGCAAAAGACAATAGTATTACGCATGCAGCCGCAGCACCGAGCAACCTTGGCGCAGCCACTACAATCCCTGAGCATCGGATATTGAATAGGATCAATTGAAAGGGTATTGCAAATTATTGATATTTTTGAAACAAAAAAAAATCAATATTTTTTGGGTTGCAAATTATTGCTCTGAAATTGATTTTTCTATTGAATTTTTTTGGGTGCAAATTATTGATCTGTCTATTGAAATTTTTTGAGAGAATTATTGATATTTTTGGGGTCCCTTTTTCCACCAAATTTTCCTCAAAAAACTATATATACATGCTGAAGTTTTGGCTCAAATAGTGTTTCAAAAAGCGAAAAAACACCTGTACTTGCAAGACCTTCCTTGGAAAAGGCTTGTCCTTGGAAAAGGCTTTTCCTTGGAAAAGGTCTTTCCTTGGAAAAGCTGTGGGGTTCTGCCTTGGAAAAGGCAGCATGGCTGGAAGGGGAGGAGCCAGAAATTATCCAAAACCCTATGTGGATTCTGGCCTTCTCTACAAAGCTCTTGCTGCCCATGAGGACCTGGTGGCAAACTTGGGCTCCTATGAGCACCTGTCCAGGTCAAATGCACCATGCCCAACTGGGTTGGTCAGGTGCCTTCCTTTGTGGAGGGCATTCTTAAAAATCGAAAAGAGTGGTGATATCCACAGCTCTCCCTTAAGGGTTGCTTTGATTTCCCTTCTGGCTGAAAAGCCACAGCTGAACCAGTCTGGCCAAAGTGGCCAAGTGTGGGCCAACTTAAGGGCTGAGAGGATAGTCTGCTTATTGAACCATGTGAGGGCTATGAGCAGGCAAAGCAGCCTGCAGACTGCTGCCAGCAGGCTGAACAAGGATTTCCTGAGCTTGCAGGAAGGCCTCAACATGGTGGCAGCTGTCCCTGAAGCCTTGGAAAAGGCTCAAGCATTGGAAAAGGCTCAAGCCTTGGAAAAGAGCAAGGCAATGGAAGAGAGCAAGCCCTTGGAAAAGGCAAAGTCTGCTGGCAGCAAGCTGCTGAAGAAGAATGATAGCAACAGCAGTGCTGTTTCCATGGATGCCAGAGGCTTCCCCAGTATGTTTGCTAGCAGCCCAGAATGCCCCAAAACAGCAGCAGCTGCATCCAAGCTGCCACTCCTCTCCACAAGAAGGCCAGGGAGCAGGGTGCAAACTGACACAGGTTCCTTGGAAAAGGCTATGGGGTATGCTGCATGCTCCAAGAAAAGGCCAGCCGCTGCCTTGGAAAAGGCTCAGGCAAAAAAGCCATCAGCAAAGGCTTTGGGAAAGGCCAAGAAGGGAAAGAAAGCAGCAAAGAAAAAGGCAAAGCCTTTGGAAAAAGGCATGAGGATGAAATGGCTCAAACTGAAGGTCACTTCTGCAAAGAAGCCTAAGCCAAGGGCATATTTGACAGGAACCACTGAGGAGGGTGGCAAGCTGAAGCTAATTGTGGAGGTGACTAGCAGCATGTCTCCACACTTTGCCCAAATCATTGATGATATCCAAAAATCCTTGGAAAAGGATTCTTTGACAAAGGCAGAGGCTTTGGATATGAGGGCAAGGCTGTTGGAAACATATGCTGCCAAGTGAGCCCCCACAGCCTTGGAAAAGGCATGCTCAACTTTGGAAGTTGCATGCCAATAAAGACCAGCCAGTAGTGGCTTTTGCCACTACTGGCTGGCCTTCCTTTGCATGCACTTCTAGGGCTAGTTCCATGGAAAAGACTGCCTTCCTTGGTGTATCCTTGGAAAAGGATAAAAACCCTTGGGAAAGGAAAAAAAACCCTTGGAAAAGGGATATATCCTTGGAAAAGGAAAGCTGTGGCCATGGAAAAGCCATGGCCACTACAATTTTGTACATATAAGTTTCACCTATAGGAGTACCAAAAAAAAGAAAAACATGCTGCCTGGCAGCTGCAAGTCATGGTCACCATGTGCCAGTGCACCCTTGCCTTTGCAACTAAAAACTAAACCACCTCAATGTTATATGTGTCTTCAAAAAGGCATGGGTGCAGTGGCAAAAACTACATGTGTCTGCAGCTGTTTTGCTTTCAGCTTAGAGCCATAGGTTGCAACATGCCCCACTGGAGCACCACAGCAGCACCACAGCACCAGCACAGCAGCACCACAGAAACTGGATAGTAATTCCTAGGATACAAGAAACCGCCCACAACACTGTATACAATAGGCAAGGCAACCACACACTCACACATCAAACTTTTGCCTTAGCCCCTTGCTGTGTAGGGCTTGGAAAAGCTGCCTTGGGAAAGGCAAAGATGGCACAACCCCCCCCAGGGGGGTTTAACAACAAATGGAGGCCATCTGGCTCTGGCACTACTTCCCAAAAGAGGAAGGAAGCCAGGGAAGCCAAGCAATGGTCCTTCCTGGAAGGGGACAACCCTTCTGGGAAGAAGTGCTTGGAAAAGCACCTGGCTAGCTTGGAAGCAGCCAGAAAAAAGTGCCTGGACAAGCTCCAGCATGCTGAGGAGGACGAAGCCTTGGAAAAGGCTGAGCAGGCACACAAGAAGGCCATGAAAAAACAGAAGAAGGCCAAGCAGTCCTTGGAAAAGGAGTCCTTGGAAAAGGATGTGGACATGGAAGAGGTCAAGGTGGAGGCTGAGCCCTTGGAAAAGGGCAAGCCTGGGAAGCATGGTCCCAGGAAGGCCTCCCTGGTCTCTGCTGACACCTTGGAAAAGGAAAGGCAGCTCAAGGCAAAGTTGCATGCTTCCTTGGAAAGGAAAGGCAGTACAAGGCCAAGCTTGAAGAAGCCTTGGAAAAGGCCAAATCTGCTGCTGGTACTGGGGCCAGCAGCAGCAGCAAGCCAGCTGGCCCCATGCAGAGCATGCCCCTGGTTGGTCAGCTTGATGAGGCCTTGGAAAAGGCAAAGAAAGCCTTGGAAAAGGCAAAGGCAGAGGAGGTCATCCACATCTGTGTGGATTGGCACAACACCTTGGAAAAGGATGATGATGTCTCAGCTGACAACATGGCAGCTTTGACATGCCTGCTGCAGGTGGCAAAAGTCCACCTGATCAGCTTTGTGGGCAGTGGCAGCAGAAAGAAGCAAGTCCTCAAGGACATGAAGATGCTGCCCCAGTATGACAAGCTGTCCACCAGCATGGCCATCTTCAACCAGCTGGGGGAAGATGGCAAAGTCGACTGGGCATGCCACTTGGGCTGCACAGTGATCTTTGATGATCAGCCTGAGATCATCAAAGAGGCCAAGCAGTGGGGGCTGGATGCTTATGGCAAGGGCCAGTTTTGGGCCACCTTTGCTGAGGCTGTGCTGGACTACTTGGACAAGCTGGCCCAGTACCAGTAGTTCAGTGGCAGCTATTCCTTGGAAAAGGAAGCAGCAAAGGCCTTGGAAAAGGCATGCCCAAAGCCCTTGGAAAAGGGCCAAGCCTGTGCAGCCCAAAGCCTTGGAAAAGGTTGCCCAAAGCCTTGGAAAAGGCAGCAGCTGACAAACCTTGGAAAAGGTAGCACATGTTTCACCCACCTTTGCATGCATCAATTTAAAAATGTCCAGCTGGCCAGAATTTGTTGAAATAAAGACATGATGAACAACTATATAACATGTGTTAAATCATTGGTTTGATATTTATTTCTTGTGTTACTTGTGCAATTCTTGGCCAGCTGGACATGGAAGAAGCATTGGTAAAACCCCTTGGAAAAGGGGCCAAAACATGTACAGTCTAGTGTACAGATTGCTTCCCTGTAAAAAGCAGGGAAGCATAAGAGACCAACTAAGCAAGAGAGAAAAAGTGAATAAATAATAAATAAATAATTTAAAAAATAATGAGACATATATAATTAAAAAAATAAAAAGTAAGTAATTAAAAAAACAAAAAATTTCAGTAAACATTGAACCCCAAAAATGCAAATTGAAAAGTATTTTTTTAGGTGAAAAAATGTTTGGGAAGAAACCATTTGTGAGACATGAGGAAAGCCAAATGGAGCAAACTGCTTTGTGAAATAATCTTTGTTGGAATCAAATGAAAAGAGATCCAAAATTGTTTAGCTTTTTGAAAAAAAGAGCCAAATGCCAAAGATAAATTGCAATCTTACAAAGAAAAAGTGCAAAAAATGAAAATGAAATCACCTCAAAAAAAAAACTGCAAAAAATAGAAAAAAAAACAAATCTGTTGAAATCTGTTGAAATCTGTTGAAATCTGTTGAAATCTGTTGAAAACAAGGATTTCAACAGATTTCAACAGATTTCATTTTTTCTAATTTTGGCTGTTTTTTTTTCCTTGTGTGTTTTTTTTTTCTGTGGTGCTTTTGTCTTGTTTTCTTCTGGTTCTCCCCTGTTCTTTGTCAATTTTGGTTTGGAAATTGATGTGTTTTGTGTTTCTCTCTTCCTTGTTCTTTCTTGGTATTTGTTGGTTTTGTTTTTTTTGTTAGTTTAGTGCTGTTGTTGTTGCTGATCTGTTGCTTTGTTTTCTTCAGTGGCTTTGCTTTTTCCCACACTTTGGTTTCGGATTTTGCCTGGTTGTTTTCAAGGTCAATGTTTTCTTGCAGGACCATCTTGGCTCAAAGTTTTGTTAGTGCTACAGCAATCAAACACTAGCTATGCCGCCCAAAAAGGTAATGAAAAAACATGTGAAGAAAGGAAAAGGAAGCAGCTTGGAAAAGCAAGGCAGGCTTGGAAAAGCCAAGGCCAAGGCCAAAAGCAAACTTGGAAAAGTTTGCAAAAGAAACTTGGAAAAGATGGGAAAGCTTTCCCTCCAGGAGAAAGTCCAGCAAGCAGCTGAGGCAGCTGAGGACCCAGAGGAGCAGGCAGAGCAGCTCCAGAAAACCCTTTCCACTGAAGAGAAAAAGGAAGTTTGGGGGAAGCACAACACTTTCCTCAAGCACAACCCCTTGGAAAAGGGTGACCATAACCAGCTGTCCAAGAAGGACAAAGGCATTGCTGCATGCCTCTGGTTTCTGAAGAAGGAGGGGAAGAGATTCATCCACACCAGCCAGACTGTCAAGGCTTCAGAAGCCTTGGAAAAGGAAGATTTCTGGATGACAGAAAAGCAAGCCTTGGACAAGTTTGGTGAAAGGGAACTCAACCTCCACATTGAGAGTGGAAGGGTGGTTTACAGAGAAGACCCTTGCACCTACAATGTCTACCAGTACAAAGATCTCCATGCTTGGAAAAAAAGGTCCAAGTCAACAGAGGGAAGAAATGGCAATCTGGACAGGAATATGAGCCAGAGGAAGAGGACTTGGAAAAGTTCAAAGCTCTCTATGATGAGGATGCCATGAACTTGGACCAGCATGAGATCAGCCAGCTGGAAGGCAGAGCCAAGGGGTCTGGAAAGACCAGTGGCAAGCACCTTGGAAAAGGTAAGACACACCTTGGAAAAGGTAAGACACACCTTGGAAAAGGTAAGGGCAAAGGGGCAAAGGAAAAGCAGCTGGCCATCAAGGACAAGGAGCCTGATGAAGAAGATGACCCTGAAGATGAAGCTCTGAAAGATGCCTTGAAAAAGGTCAGGAAAGCCAGGGACTCTGTGTCTGCTGCCACTTCCAACTTGGAAGAAGCCTTGGGAAAGGCAAAGTCTTCTTTGTCGAGACAAGGCAAAGCAGTGGCTGAAGGGTACATCAGCCAGCTGGGTAAGAACCTCCAAACATTGAAGGATGCCCTGGCTGGCAAGAAGGCTTGGAAAAGCAATGGCATCAAGAAGTTCTTGGAAGAAGTTGCCAAGAACATCAAAGGTGCCAAGGATGAGGCCAAAGAGCTGAAAGCCTTGGGCAACAAGGCTGCTTCTGTTGCTGGCAGCAGGAAGTCCAAGTGAGCTTGGAAAAGGCAGCCTTGGAAAAGGCAAACCAGCTTTGGAAAAGGCAAAGTAGATAACCTTGGAAAAGGCTAGCCATTGCTACAGCCCTAACACAGGGCAGGGTAGCTCTTAGATATAAGACACATAGCTTTGGAAAAAAAACATGCAGCTGCTGGGGACCAGGGGTTAACATGGACACACACACACACACCTCCTGCAGCTGTTTCTGATCAAGTGTGTAAGTGTAGCTGTTTGCAATTCAGGTTTAGCTTTGCATCTTGCCTTGGAAAAGGCTACTCCTTGGAAAAGGAATGGCCTGCAAAAGGCTTAGGGGATGGCAGCTGGAAATGGAAAGTGGGAGGCCTAGCAAGGCCAAAACCTTGGAAAAGGATACCTTGGAAAAGGAGTCTGCTTTGGGCAACAAGCTTCTAAGCTTGTGGGCACATGGTACCCTTTCAGCAGTGATGGTGAGAGAGCTGGCCCACCTTGCAATTCAAGATGGTGCCAAGGGGGAAGACCTACACTGCATGGCCAAAGCAGGAGATTGGGGTGGTCGCCCAGGCAACTGCCACAGAGACATCATGGCCAGATTTTGCCATCATGTCACTTTGCCCCAGCCAGTCAACATCCAGGTTGGATGCATTGACCCCAAAACATCACAGCCAGCCTTGGAAAAGGCTGCTGTTTTCCTGCCACACCAAGTGTGGGCAAGCCTGGGTCACAACTACCCCTTCCACTTGGAAAAGATGGGGAAATGCTCCCTTGAAACCTTTTGGTCAAGGGTAGAATCATCTAATGATGATAAGCTCCTAAACCACCCAATGACCTTGGAAAAGGATTGGAAGGAAAAGAATGTACCCTTATTCCTCCATGGAGATGGGGTGGAATTCCAGAACAGGGACACTCTCATGTGTTTCTCCTTTGGTAGCCTGTTGAGCAACATGAGCTCACTTGAAAGCCATTGGCTGTGCGCAACTTTTCCCAAAAGTGCCACATCTGATGGCACATGGCCACCAATCTGGACATATTTGAGATGGAGCTTTGATGCCCTTGGAAAAGGGTACCACCCTTTGGAAGACCCAGATGGAAAGCCCTTGGAAAAGGGATCACCATTTTTTGAATGTAAGGGTCAGCCCCTGCACCCACAAGGCCTTAAAGGCACATTGTGGTCCATTATGGGGGATCAGGAGTTCTTCTCAAATGCCCTAGGCCTTCCTCATTGGAATGCTCACTATCCATGCCATGAATGTGATGGGCAGAACTGGGAAGGCTGTGCCTTGGAAAAGGCTGTGAAGGAAATCCGCTTGGAAAAGCAGAACTTTCAAGAATACAGCCATGCTGAGCACATGGCAGAGCCTGCCAGTGACCACCCCTTGTTTCAATTGGATCACATCTCCTGCAAGAATGTCAAGGGGGACCCCCTGCATATCCTTTTCTGCAAGGGTTTATATGGTCACCTGATAGGCAGCATCCTCCACTATTGCTGCTGGAGAGAAGGCCCTGGAAAGGTGTGCAAGAAGAAGCCTTGGGAAAGGCTGTCTGTGTTGTTTGAACAAATTCAGCTGGAATATAAAAGCCAAGAGTCCACCACAAGGCTCACAAACCTCAGGCTGAGCATGTTCACAGACTCCCAGAAACCTTGGAGCAAGTGGGCAAATCTTGATGTCAAGGGTGGTGAAGCTAAGCACTTGCTGCCAGCTTTGATCCCTGTCATCAAAAGACTCTTTGCCAACAGCAGGCTGCCAGAGGAGATGAACATGATCTTGGCAGCTGAAAGCTTGGAAAAGCTTGTGAGCCTGTGGGATTCTATGGAAATCATTCCCACTGATGCTGAATTTGCAAACTCCATGGCCTTGGGAAAGGCATTTCTGGATTCCTATCATGAGTTGAATGTGTGGTCCTTGGAAAAGGACAGGAAGAGCTTCCACAAAGTGCATAAGCACCACACATTCCTCCACCTCCTGAAAAATTCCAGACATATGAATCCCAAGCTGCAATGGTGCTTCAAAGCAGAAGACTTTGTTGGCCATTGTGCCAAATTAGGGCATTCAGTTTCCATGGGCGTCAGCAGCTGCAGGCTAAGTTTGAAAATATCAAACAAATACCGAGTGTTGCAGCACCTGCTGCTCACTCGCAAAAATTTTGTTGCTTCTTGCAACAATATGTTTGGCCTGGAATGACCTTGGAAAAGGTTGCTTGCTGCTGCCACCCTTGGCTGCCCAGAAAAGCTTGGAAAAGCAGTTTCCTTGGAAAAGGTTTCCTTGGAAAAGGCATGCTTTAATTAATCTTGTACATATCCATAGCCATGGCAAAGCCCATGGCAGGTCTGAAAATGGTGGAAAAAATGTCTATTTTGGGGCTCTGAAATGGTGTTTTTTCTATTGAAATTGAAGCTTCAAAACATAGGTTTTTTTATTGAAATTCATGCTTCAAAACAGAGGTGCAAATTATTGAAACAAAAGCCTCAAATTTCAATTGTCACTATTGAAAATCTAAGGGGTCAATATCAAGATATTGATCCTATTCAATATCCGATGCTCAGGGATAGGTTTCG